ATTGTATGTGTCTATTATAGAACTTGGAGCAGTGAGGGATTCTGTTCTCCTTTTTGCCTTGTAGTAAAAAGATTCAGAGTCCAGCTTAGAGAGAAACGTATCCTTCCATATCCTTGCAACACCAAGTTCTGGCCCACAGACCACCTGTATCTTCACCACTTGGCATAATGCTTTTTCCTAATTCTAGTAAAAAATATTATGAGCATATACAAGTTTGATTCCTGACCAATTGCTATTTTTGATAAGAAATTCTATTATTTTCAAAAGTGGCAATAATCCTGCAGTTTAAAAGGAGCCATCACTTTTCTGCTAAAGGGCGTAATCCTGTGTCCTCTATATTAAGCTGACCAGCAAACCAGAATGGATGGGGCGCTTGCTTTTGGGGGCCATTCCAGAGCGGGCCAAGAAGTCTCTGTATTTTTTGTGCTGCGCTGTCAAACCCTGACTGAATCCACCTGCTGGGGAGCCGTGAGGCCTGAAGTGGTTTACAGAAGGCGAAGGGGATAATTTGGATTTTCAGACGGTGAGGTGCAAATGGGATATTAGTTGACTTAAACATATGATTGGGAATGAATTATTGGATTTAGAGGGTGAGGCAAGAGCATCATGAGAGATTGCTGGAAATATAGGAGAAGGAGTCTGAACAGATGTGGTAAATAGGGTAGGAGAAGAGTAGCTGGAATAATTGGTCAACATTTAGCAAAAGGGAGCGTGACAGAGTTGTTACATATGTAAGACTATGTGGACATTTGGAATGGCACTTTTTCTTGCAGGGAACACTGCAAAGTGGCTGACGGAGGAGTGTTAGCAGCCACTGTGGAAGAAGGATGTCTCCACTAGGACACCAGCCTCTGCTGAGAATCAGAGGTGTGGCTGAGCCCCTTGGGATTAGTCTCTGTGGGGAGTGTTTTATGAGGATAGCAGTGTGACTTCTGGCACTGGATGTTAGACACTGAGATTAGACACTGGCAGGGCAAGTAGGGGTAAATAAATGTCAGTGGGAACAGTGAGACTGAGCTTCGTTGAGTTTCTAATTGATTCCAGAAGTATTTATTCAGCTCTTACTATATCAGCCATGTTTTGGGAGCTGGGATACAGTGGTGAACAAGAGAAATGATTTCCTTGCCCCATGGTTAAATGGCTAATTAAATAAGACAGCTATTGAGAAAGAAAATGGAAAGGAAGCTCTGTACTGGATGTATGAGTTTGCTTGACCTCTGATGATAGAGATGTATTTTTTTTTTTTTTTTGAGACTTGCTGGAGTGCCCAGGCTGGAGTGTGTAGTGCCGCTGTCTCAGCCCACTGCAAGCTGGGCCTCCCGGGTTCAAGCCATTCTCCTGCCTCAGCCTCCCTAGTAGCTGGGACTATAGGTGCCCGCCACCACGCCCAGCTAATATTTTGGTTTTTAGTAGGGATGGGGTTTCACCGTGTTAGCCAGGATGGTCTCGATCTCCTGACCTCGTGATCCGCTTACCTCAGCCTCCCAGTGCTAGGATTACAAGCATGAGCGACCACGCCTGGCCACATCTGGGCTGTTTTTAAGAGCGTTCGGTACTGGTTGATCCTGAGTGAAGAATGATATAGCCAGAGCAGAGTTAGCATTAAACTGGAAGGCTATTTCTTCTGGCCTTCCTCTCCCGCATCTTGGATAGGTTGAGTGCAGGCACACCTTTGCTGTCTGCATCTGGGATTCTGCTAGAGGGGTATAAGGTTAGGATGATTCCCCATGACTCTACAATTGGGAAAGGCAGCTTAATTGGGACTATTTGGAATTATTACCTACTGGTCTATCTCTTGTGAACAGCACAGAGTCAACTCATCTGCTAGATTTGTGTCTTGCATCAGCATTGAGGGAGCAGGTGACAAGTCTCAACCAGTACTGTAGATTACAAAAGAACGCTTGTGTGTTGTGTGTGTTTTAAGTTTGAATTTTAATGTGTAGCATTTGAAACCCCATAATCTGTGTCATGGATTTGCTTCTCCTGTATTTAAAATACTTTCTAGGTGTAATGAAGCTGCTTATGTCAGTAACTGAACCTTAAATGCACTTCCTTTGCTGCAGTTTTCATCTCACATGGTTTATGTTTTAATTAGACATTAGTTGTAGGGGAATAATTCTCTCAACTGGAGCCTGAAGTCAGGGTGAAGGCACCAGCCTGCACAGGATGCAATAAATCGCCATGGGAGTTTTACATTGAAAGCTATTTTGGGGCCTTATAATTTATAAACTATGTACATGTAGGAAATAATAGTTTATCATCTCACGTCATTGTTTGTTGTGGAGATTCGAACAATGAGAGTAGGAACCTGATGGTGATGAAGAGAATTCTGTCTAACAGCCTTTATGAATAGACTGAGGCTGTTGAAGAGGTGGATTTCAGCCTAATAAGCATTAACTCCTCCTGCAGTTAACACTATCATTCAGTTGCAGCTAATGTATTAGGAGAGCTTTCTTGCAAACCCAAGGGAGTTGCTGTAAAGATTAATTCAGCTACATCATGCTTTTCATGTGTTGTGGTGTCAAGCCAGGCGTTTTACTCAGGTTGGTTATTTGGGTTCTTGCATTTTTCTGGTTTTTAAGCATTTGATTGGGAGGGTCTCCAGTGACCTACACTCAGTAGCAGGTTAGAAATTGTGTTTCTGTTGTTAGGTTGAGGCAAGGTTTACTGGCTTCTCTTAGCCTTCATGTCCGAACCCTGACCCCTACCCTGGTCTGTGGATGTCTTGCTCTCTTGGGGAAAACAGTTCCTTCTTCTAGAGGCACTGCCCAGCAATCGGAAATCTCAGCCTGGCAGGCATCTGTGAGTGAAGGATGTCAAGGAGAAGGTGGAAATCCTAGTTCTCTTAGGCCTTTCTTCCTCTTGCTGTAGAAGATGGAGAATTACTCTCATTCTAGGAAATCCTTGAAGCTTAATGAAAGTGCAGCTTAAGTTATTTAGGGCTTAGAGTCTCTATGTGGTTGGATTTCTAAAACGAAGTTTGTATTTATGCAGCGTATAGGAATGTAAGTGCTGGAGGAGACCTCAGATGATCTAGACTTCTCATTGAATCCCATGAAAGTTTTCCCTGATCCTTCAGTGTTAGGGAGGAAAAACCAATTCTTTGGTATAAACCAGTAAAACAGCATCAGACTGCCCATGAGATATTCGGCCTTCTCCTTGAACAAAGGGAACCTGAATATCCAAAATACCCAAAATCATGATTTTACCTGGGATATTAATGTTTTTATTATAATAATAATAATTATTTTTAGACAGAGTTTTGCTCTGTCTCCCAGGCTGGAGTGCAGTGGCATGATCTCAGCTCAGTGCAACCTCTGCCTCCTGGGTTCAAGCAATTCTCCTGCCTCAGCCTCCCGAGTAGCTGGGACTACAGGTGTGCACCACTACTCCCAGCTAATTTTTGTAGTTTTTTAGTAGAGACAGGGTTTCACCATGTTGACCAGGATGGTCTCAATCTCTTGACCTTGTGCTCCGTCCGCCTTGGCACTCCCAAAGTGCTGGGATTGCAGGCGTCAGCCACTGCGCCTGGCCGTTTTTCTTATTCTTCTAAGGCCGAAAGTATCAGTGCTCAAATGCTTTCTTTTCTTTCCTTTCCTTTCCCTTTCCCTTTCCCTTTTCCCTTGTCTTGTCTTTTCCTTTTCCTTTTCCTTTTTCTTTTTTTTTTTTTTGAGACTGAGTCTTGTTCTGTCACCCAGGCTGGAGTGCAGTGGCACGATCGCAGCTCACTGGCACCTTTCTGTCTAGGTTCAAGTAGTTCTCCTGCCTCAGCCTCCTAAATAGCTGGGATTACAGGCGCATGCCAACACGCCCGGCTAGTTTTTGTATTTTTAGTAGAGATGGGATTTCACCATGTTAGGCTAGTCTCGAACTCCTGACCTCGTGATCTGCCCATCTCGGCCCCTAAAAGTGCTGGGATTACAGGCGTGAGTTACGGCGCCCGGCCTGCTTTCATTTCTAAAATGAACTTTTATAAAATGCTTAAGTCTTTGATATAGGTGTGTGAATGTAAGTCCTTCTTAGATTAACAGTGTACGGATAGCTACAGAAGAGAACCTCTCAATATCCTTAGCCATGTGAATCATCATCTATTAATAAGATCTGTAATGACTTAATCTTGCTGGTTCTTTAAACATGTATCTCTTCCCATTTATTTACCTTGCTTTAGTGACTGTTGTCAACCATGTCTGTCTTTCCACCTCTTGCTCTGCCTCAAGTCCCTGTATAATTTTTTCTTCCCTCTTTATATCTTTATGACTGGAATTGCTGGAATAGTCTCTGGGCTGGCTATTCGTTTTTGGTCATCTCTGCATTCATTCTGTTAATTCTTAAGAACTTGTATTTGATCTGGAGCAACAGACATGAGGTTGCCAGTTTGAAATGAGGCCTTCAAGATCTGTCATTAATGTGTACATTGCCTCCTTCTGCAGTAATCTCTCCTTTTATTTGGGATTCTTTTACTTAAGTGGCCAATGCGAATACAGTTCCACATCTTCTGACTGGACTGTAAATTTCTTGAGTGCACGGCACCTATATCTGCTATATCCTTTGAACTCCCAAGGGAGACAGCAACATTTTTAAGAATTCCGTACATATTTGTATTGCAGTGTACGTTCTGGCATTGCTCACTTTATAAAACTCAACTAAAATGATTCATTATCCTTCTAGTTGTGGGTATAACAACACCTTTTTCTGAACTCTGTCAGAAATATAAAACTATTACTAGTTGATGAACATATTTGGGTTTGGGACGTATAAAGAAGTGAGATGGTTGTGTGTTGCTTTCATTCTTTTTAACAGCCTGTGGATTCACTTTTGTTCGAGGCCTATTCAGAAAGGTCATTGTCCCTTTACCTTAAGGGTGTAATTCTGACCTTCAGAACTGGGTCGTGGTCACACAGTACTTGTTTGGCAATTCCTTTACAATAAAGTTTATTTTGACTCTGAATATTGGCTTGCTTTCTATTCAGTAACTCATCTCTTTTCTTATGTTTCTCCAGGATGACAGTGATGGGATTCCGTGGTCAGAAGAACGGGTGGTACGTAAAGTCCTTTATTTGTCTCTGAAGGAGTTCAAGAATGCCCAGAAGAGGCAGCATGGGGAAGGCCTTGCTGGGAGCCTGAAAACTGTGAATGGTGAGTTGACTCTTGGAATAGCTCATTGGAATGTGCGATATCTCTGGGCATGGACTTGGTTCTGAATTGGATGTGTTCTGGCAGCTTGTGCTTCCTAGTCTAGGCACCTAAGGGCAGTCTGTGGGCTAGGTGAATCCGCACTCCGGACATACTGTTGGGTTTATGGACTTATTTTTATGTTCCGCGTTATATAGTGGATGAAATACCTTAGTCTGTTCTGTAGGTCCTGTCTTGCTGGTTTTTCTATATGCATATGTCTTTCCACACTGGTATGTGAGCAGAACTCTTTGATGATCTTGCTGAAATGTGGAGTCTTTAGTTCTTGTTCCCGGGTTGTATAGGAAATAGCCTAAATCTTTCTGTCTACTGCTTTTCCTGCTCTCTGGCTCAACAGCTTTCTCATCCCTCCTTCCTTCCTTGCTGGGCAGGTTCCTGCAGTGGGACGGCTTTGCATACCTCTAGAAGTGTGCTTCTTCCTGTATGGCTATCACATGACTCCTTGATGCCTGAAAAGAAACTTGCTCCTATCTGAGTTTGTTCTCATGTCTGTTTTGAACAGGGTTCGTAGGGTACAGATGAAGTCATCCAACAAAAAGTATCTGCGAACAAACATTTGCTTGTAGTTTACTATTTTATTTCAAGGGAATGCAGTGACATTCTGTAACCTTCTTGTGCACTTCTCAGGATTACAGTTAAAGTGAATGAATTGACCATGTTTTGGTTTGTGCTTCCTTGGGGGCAGGGAGATGAGAAAGAGCAGGTTCTGTTCTTTTTTGAGAGCTGTGGCTCTGGTCTTAGGAGAGTCATCACACATGGGGTACTTGACAGTTTGTCAGGGTGCAGAAGGACAGGTTCCCCATGGCTTCCAGTTTTCCCCCACCACCTTAGTTGTAAGGTGAGTTGTCTGGCAGCCTCCTGTTGGAACTAGTGCTCACAGGCACTCGTGCACAACAGCACCTGTTTGCTGCTCTGTTTCTGTGGGGCCATGGGCAGAATTTCCTGAGATGACCTCTCTGAACTCCACCATTCACCCTAGTTGTGCTGTCTCCTTCCACTGTTGCGTGACTTGAAACAAGAGCCTCTGTCCACCCTCCCGGGTTTTCTTTCTTATGGGTGACTTGCCTTTGGAGGTCAACCATTAAGGCCATAGTGGCTCAGTCATGTGTGCGTCCCTCAACAAATCTCAGCCAATATGTATGGGAAAGGCCTATTTCGAGTATTAACATTTGCAGAAAACAAAATAAGTTGTGGAATCTATTGCCATAGCATCCAATTTAGACCCTCATAGCTGCTTTCCTAAAAGGCACTCTGCCTTGTTATGTGGGTCTTCAGCAGATAGGAACCCTAGCCATTCGTTGCTTGTAATACAGTAAACTGAAAATCTTGTGTCTAGTTGGAGAACATTAGATGTTATATATAGAGAGTTCGTGTTTATTGTCATTGATTCACGTTGAATGTAGCTTCTTGCTTGATTAAATGTGGGGGGTTGGGTATGACAGAGAATATCACTTAATCCTAGAGTTTAGAGTGGAGCAATGACTGCTCTGCTGTTAGATTGGATGGTTGTGATGCTTTCACAGTACTGTTCAGGAGTGGTGTAATGCCCTAGTGTTTCTTGGAATTGCCAACAGTGGAAATAAAAACATCCATATTTTCTTAACTGGGCAACACCAGCTTTTAGAACAAGAGGTTAGCCAGATGTCCGGGATATAATAAAAGTAAAATTTGAGTAAATAACAAAAACTAAAATTTGTCATTCCAGAAGCAACCAGTGCCGTCAGCCAGTTGGCCAAATGTACGTTTAGCTCTGGCATTGTCGAGGGCTTTATGATACTGGGGAGAAAATCTAAGTTGGCAAAGTTGCCCCCATTGGAATCACTGAAGTCTTTTTATTTATTCTGGCACCACCTTCATAAAGGAAGGTTAGTTTTTGTCATGGTGGCACATGCCTCTAGTCCCAGCTAGTCAAGAGGCTGAGATAGGAGGATCACTTGAACCCAGGAGGTCAAGGCTGAATTGAATTATGTTCACACCACTGTATTCCGGCCTGGGCAACAGAGCAAGACTTTCTCTTACAAAATCATTATTTTGAAGGCAGCCACCATGTTAAACAAAGTGTGCTTTCTTATTTTGGGGTACTACTTGGAATCACAGGAAACCAGAATTGGTATCGTGGGAAGAGCTCCTCTTCTGTAGGTGTTTTGAGAGCATGATCCAGGGAAAGCTCAAACAGTAGGGAGCAACCAAGACTTTTGGGCTGGTGAGGTTGGGAGTAGGGGTTGTTGTAACTGCAAGCTGTGTTGTGCATATGTATATATGGACATGTGTGTCTTTGTGTGTATATGCATGTATGTATATGCATGCTCTGCTGAAAAATCCCTTTAGTTTGAATGGATACTTTATCTCTATAGTCAGCCATCACTCATGTTCTATCCCATAGAAACACTTCCTAAATGTGAAATGAAACCAGAGGATAGGTTAGTGGGAGTGGAAGCAGGGTGTATTAGTTTGTTTTCATACTGCTGATAAAGACATACTCGAGATTGGGAAGAAAAAGAGGTTTAATTGGACTTACACTTCCACATGACTGGGGAGGCCTCAGAATCATGGAGGGAGGTGAAAGGCACCTCTTACATGGCGGCGGCAAGAGAAAATGAGGAAGAGGTAAAAGAGGAAACCCCTGATCAACCCATCAGGGTTGTGAGACTTACTCACTATCACAAGAATAGCACGGGAAAGGCCAGCCGTCATGATTCAATTCCCTCCTCCTGGGTCCCTCCCACAACATGTGGGAATTCTGGGAGATACAATTTAAGTTGAGATTTGGGTGGGGACACAGCCAAACCGTATCACAGGGGATGAACTATAATGGTGGTGGTTTTTTTGTGAGACAGAATCTCCCCGTCGCCCAGGCTGGAGTGTAATGGTGTGATCTCAGCTCACCGCAACCTCCACCTCCCTGGTTCAAGCGATTCTCCTGCCTCAGCCTCCCAAGTAGCTGGGGTTACAGGCATGCACCACCATGCCTGGCTAATTTTTTGTATCTTTAGTAGAGATGGGGTTTTACCATGTTGGCCAGGCTAGTCTCGAACTCCTGACCTTGTGATCTGCCTGCTCTGGCCTCCCGAAGTGTTGGGATTACAGGCGTGAGCCACCGCTCCTGAGCCAGGATGGATAAGTCCATGCAAGATGTATGTCCTCTCCTCTCCCCTCCCCTCTCCTTTCTTTTTTTGAGACCGAGTCTCGCTCTGTTCCCAGGCTAGAGTGCAGTGGTGCTATCTCTGCTCACTGCAACCTCTGCCTCCGGGTTCAAGTGATTTTCCTGCCCCAGCCTCCCGAGTAACTGGGGTTACAGACATGCGCCACCATGCCCAGCTAATTTTTTTTTGTATTTTTAGTAGAGGCGGGGTTTCACTGTGTTGACCAGGAAGGTCTCCATTCCCTTGATCCACCCGCCTCAGCCTCCCATAGTGCTGGGATTACAGGGGTGAGCCACCCTGTCTGGCCCTCAATTTTTAATTTTTGTTTTTGTTTGGTTAGTTCCCACCCCGTAAGATTGCTTTTCAAATAACAAAATTTGTCCACTGGTTTGTTCATTTTTAATTGTCACAGAAATTTGTCTGGTGGTGGAGTTTGACATTGTGCAGTCCAGAGCCATTGCTAGGAGGTGACATATGATGCTGTCCAAGCAAGTGTGAGAACATGTGCCTTAACCCCAGAGAGGGGTGGGTGGTGGTGAGAGCTTCTGCTTCTGTGTCCTCTTTCATGCTTTTGAGCTTGGGGACAGTGACATGCTTCTGAGAGCCCTGGTGCTTCCATCTATAAACTGAAAGACCCATCTAACTATGGGACCTTTATGACTGTTAGATGTAGTAGTGACTTTCTTAAAGTCAAACAGGTATTTACTTCATAGCAGCAGAATTGGAATTGCAGCTCAAGTCCTGTAAGTTTGAATCCAGTACTTTTTTGCAAGACAGAATGCATGGAAACTACATTGGATCTTTGCAACAGGAATATTGAAAAGATGTTTTGTTTTTTCCCATTTCCAGTTTTAAACAGCATTGTTTCTGTATTTTTGATTATTGGAAAATATAATTGGATGATTGGAGGCTTTCCTGGGAAAAATCATTTGTTTTTACCATAATATTTAAAAATAACAGCAGAATGGATTTTATAGAATTTTTATCTAATTTGAGAATAAAACACACATGACATCTCTTGAATCATTGGCATCCTGGCGTGATGAACAAGCAGCCCTTTGCCCTTAATTTGTGTGAAGGGGGTCGGGTATCTGATGCCTGGGAACAGTGTGTGAACACTGCAGCTTGTATCTGAGCAGGTGAGCCCAGCCGTCCTGGTTCTGCAGGTCTGTGAGTAGTAATAACCCAAGCAGACATAAGATAGTGGAGACACCTCATTTTTCATGTCATAAAATTCATGTTTGCTATCAGTCTTGTTTTTTACAGTGAGAAGGAATGAATTTTTTTTGGGGGGGGCCCTACTATTGATAGGATATGTGAGTTTTGAACAGCCTCATGAGTTTTCTGTGTAGCAACTGATGCCATCATTACAGCTTGTTGGTTGTTGCTGGGCTTAAGCGTGAGATGGTAAGATTTGCTGATTGTGAGCCTTCTGTCTACTTTCTGTTGTAGATAATGCCACTTTTCACGGATGTAATAAATTGACAAAAGCTTTGGAAAGGACTGGCAGAGGCTGAGACCTTGGCCACTCTTTGAGGGCCCTTGGCCTGCTGGGGCTGAAATTAGGAACATTTAAATAATAACATGCTACACAAATAATGAGTACACATAATTACACAGTCAGAGAGGGGAGCTATTAGCTGTATTTGAATTTCATTTGCTTCCTATAAATGTCATGTCAGATCAAGTCCTTTGGCCAGCAAAACACTCTTGATGAGATTTAAGGGACCCTGGATTCATTTCCTTAAACTTACCCTGATCAGTAGTTGTGATGGTTAACCTACATTGAATTCTTACTAC